ATGATACAGAGCTCCCACTCACTTTCTGGTAATTACAGGCTTCACCGCAAGTATGTATAAAACTATATGCTTTGATCACACTATCAAAGCGTTTATTCCAACTCCGAGAGGCTTGCACCAGTCCATAAATGGATCACTAGAGTTTGCACACTTTTTTAGCACCTTTTGGATCGACAAAACCTTCCGGTTGCATCATATACAACTATTCTTCCAAAAATCCATTCAAGAATGCAATTTTGACATCCATTTGCCAAATTTCATAATCATAAAATGCAGCAATTGCTAACATGATTCGGACAGACTTAAGCATCGCTACAGGTGAGGAAGTCTCACCGTAGTCAACTCCTTGAACTTGTCGAAAACCTTTTGCAACAAGTCGCGCTTTGTAAACAGTAACATTACCGTCTTCGTCGGTCTTCTTCTTAAAGATCCATTTATTTTCTATGGCTTGCCGATCATCGGGCAAGTCCACCAAAGTCCACACTTTGTTCTCATACATGGATCCCATCTCAGATTTCATGGCCTCGAGCCATTTTGCGGAATCTGGGCTCATCATTGCTTCCTCATAGTTCGTAGGTTCATCATGGTCTAGTAACATGAATTCCAGAACAGGATCACCGTACCACTCTGGTGCGGATCTTACTCTGGAAGACCTACGAGGGTCGGTAGTAACTTGATCTGAAGCTTCATGATCATCATAATTAGTTTCCTCACTAATTGGTGTAGGAATCACTGGAACTGATTTCTGTGATGAACTACTTTCCAATAATGGAGAAGGTACAGTTACCTCATCAAGTTCTACTTTCCTCCACTCACTTCTTTTGAGAGAAACTCCTTCTCTAGAAAGGATCCATTCTTAGCAACAAAGATTTTGTCTTCGGATATGTGATAGAAGGTGTACCCAACAGTTTCCTTTGGGTATCCTATGAAGACGCACTTCTCCGATTTGGGTTCGAGCTTATCAAGTTGAAGCTTTTTCACATAAGCATCGCAGCCCCAAACTTTAAGAAACGACAACAGATTTTGATGGTGCCCTATTTAAGGTGAATGCAACTATCTCTAATGCATAACCCCAAAACGATAGTGGTAAACCAGTAAGAGACATAATAGATCGCACCATATCCAATAAAGTGTGGTTACGATGTTCAGACAAACCATTACGCTGTGGTGTTCCAGGTGGCGTGAGCTATGAAACTATTCCATATTGTTTTAAATGAAGGCCAAACTCGTAACACAAATATTCTCCTCTACGATCAGATCGTAGAAACTTTATTTTCTTGTTATGATGATTCTCCACTTCACTCTGAAATTCTTTGAACTTTTCAAATGTTTCAGACTTGTGTTTCATTAAATAGATATACTCATATCTACTCAAATCATCTGTGAAGCTCAGAAAATAACGATACCCGCCACGAGCATCAACACTCATTGGACCGCATACATCGGTATGTATTATTTTCAATAAGTCACTAGCTCGTTCCATTGTTCCGGAGAACGGAGTTTTAGTCATCTCGCCCATAAGGCACGGTTCGCAAGCATCAAATGATTCCAAAAGTCCATCAGCATGGAGTTTCTTCATGCGCTTTACAGCGATATGACCCAAACGGCAGTGCCACAAATAGGTTACACTATCATTATCAACTTTGCATCTTTTGGCATCAATACTACGAATATGTGTATTACCACGATCGAGATTCAATAAACCATCAACATTGGGTGTATGACCATAGAAGGTTTTATTCATGTAAACAGAATAACAATTATTCTCTGTTTTAATTGAATAACCGAGTTGCAATAAACATGATCTAATCATATTCATGCTTTAATGCAAACACCAAATAACATTTATTTTGGCTCAACACTAATCCCGAAAGTATGGGTAGTGTGCGATGATGATCATATCAATCTTCGAACCACTTCCAACACACATTATCACTTCACCCTCAACTAGTCTCTATTTATTCTGTAACTCCTGTTTCGAGTTACTAATCTTAGCAGCTGAACATGTATCAAATACCCAGGGGTTACTATAAACACTAGTAAAGTACACATGAATAACATGTATATCAAATATACCTTTGTTCACTTTGCCATCCTTCTTATCCACCAAATATTTGGGGCAACTCCGCTTCCAGTGATCATTTCCTTTGCAGTAGAAGCATTTAGTTTCAGGCTTAGGTCCAGCTTTGGGCTTCTTCATGGGAGTGACAACTTGCTTGCCATTCTTCTTGAAGTTCCCTTTATTTCCCTTTGGAAACTATGACATGTCAAGCAAAAATCCCGCAATTTCCTCTTGAAGTGCTCGTATGCAGTCCGTTGTAGGAGCTTATCCCGCATCACTTCCATCTTTATTAAAAAAGAGGACTAATATGAATATATTAGTTGTGTGTATATATATTAGATCATGATAAAAATAATTGTGAATTGTGTTTGTGTACGTCAATATTTCTTCTACTTTTGCTCCTTTATGTCATAAAGCGAATGTTCTCGCAAACATAGTATGCACATAGATTATTCCCCGACGCCTGCCTCATGCACTTTACGAGAATAGAATTCAATCAGATAATAATTAAGCAAGCATGATAATGGTATTGAAACTAGAATTAAAGAGATGCACAGACGTAACTAGTAATACTTTATTACCTTGGGTCGCACCCATTCTAGCTCTTGTTTCCATGGGCCTTGAACCTGTTTGATGAACTTTTGCCAAACCCTTCCCGCCGGCAAAGAAAAATGAATAAAGAAGTTATTAATTAGTTGATATCAGGAAAAGAACTAAAGAGGCCGACATAGTGCGCTAATGATTGAAATTACCTATCAATCACCCCCTTCATGATTGAGTATTCTTTAGTTTCTTTAAGTAGTGAGTCCAATACTTGAACATTTTCCTCGTCAACTTCAATGATTAACAGGATCAAGTGGAAACTGCATGCGCACACGTTTGTATAATTAAGTGGGCATGTGCATAACTCATGAACTACACTTATTAACATCTAGTCAGCAAAATAGAATTTGTAGTACAAGACAGTAACACTTACCCAAAGTTGTAAGGAAGTAGTGTTTCTGGTTGGGTATTTAGTCGCATAAAAAACTGTAGCAAGCTTTTCTCTGTCTCTTTTTTGTGACGTGACCATATGTCTCTTCATTAACGATATTTGGGACAATGAACCCAATGCCATAGTGTCCATCTCTTTTCATTTCATAAATCTTCATTCTGCATAATACCATAGAAAAGAATATAGTGAGGATAATTACAGGTAATGAACGAGCACAGCTAGCTATAGACTTAAATTACAGAAAGAAATCACTTACAGACAATAGCAACTGACGATAAATTTGTCGAGTGTGTCTTAATTGAATAACTAAAACATTTTTTGAAACTCAACCCACAAATCTTTTTCATGGAAGTAATGCTCTGCCTTGAATTCCACATGAGGGACTCTCGCCTGTTCTTTACTTCTCCCAGGTACCACTCATGCAATCTGTGCATTCTCGTTGATAGAAGCTGGATCTCCTCAGGCTTCACCAGAGGTTGGCCGGGGACATATTTCCATGTTAGTTCCTCCTCTGTAAACCCGGGGAGAAACTCGATGCCTAGGAGTTGTTCAACAGTGACACCAGCCTCTTTAGCCTGCCTTCTATGATCGTCTGTTATTACCAGCTGATCGGCGGTACTCGCATATGGTTGTACAATGAGTGGGGGGGGGTCGATTGCACTGCCTGTTCTCCCAGCCGGGGAACAGTTTTCCCGCTATTTTACCAACTGCTTGGCTCGAGCTCGATCTCGACTCCGTCTGTTTTTGTGTAGGATATAACTTCCTAATAGAGCGCTCATAGTCTGAGGCCGGTCTCTTCACATCCGGTTGAGCATTATCAATAAAGTGTTGTATTGCTTCCTCGGGTATTTTCTCCTTTGGCGGTGGGGGCGGTTTCTTCGCAAAAAAGGCCTTCCATTGGGCTTCCACTTCGGTGTTGTTTTCCTCGATGGTCATCTCGTAAGCCAACTTCTTTTTGGCAGGAGGAGAGTCTTTCTTGCTTGGTACTCTCTTCCGCTTTGGAGAAGGCTGACATGTCCGAGATCGATATGGTGGACTCGCGATAATGGGCTCCGTCACGGGGTGGGCTGGTGCAGTCGGCTGACACAGTGGCGGACTAGCACCGTGCTCCGTCTCGGGCAGGGTTGGAGTCGGTTGACGCGGTGTCGGACTTGGAGGAGGAGTCGGCTGGCGCGGTGGCGGACCGGGACTAAATGTGCTCGTGGGGGCCTAAGTCTGCCACCATCCCTTTAGTCCCGGTTTGTGACACGAACCGGGACTAGAGGCACGCCACGAACCGGAACTAATGATGCCCGCCCCCTAGCCGTTGGAACCGAGACTAATGGTCACATTAGTACCGGGCCGTTACCAAACCGGGACTAATGGGGCTCACGTAAAATCGTTTTTCTACTAGTGTGCGGATACCACGGTCCCTCTAACCATTCAACCACAGATTGATTCGCTGTTTCTTACATGTTATGTCACTTGACTAGGCTAAATTAAGTCTCAGTCGACTGAGATCTAGCCACACCCTATAATTTTTCCTGAGAATTAAGAGAGAAACAAAATTGTAATGAAAAGGTGGGCACGAACCTCTTTTTCTTGAGGAATATTTTTTTTTTGAGATAACGGCACGAACCTCTAAGTCTAAAACGTCTCCGGGCCTGACATGTATCAGGATGATTTCTATATGGGCGGCCCAGTCAGTGGTCTACTGGGTTCGTTCAAACGAGTTTGAAGACACCGACGAGCCCACTAAAACCAGCCGGAGGAATGCACGGACCGCTGCGCGCGGACGAACATAAAAATCGCAGAAATGTCGACAGAAAAACAGAAAAGGGAGCTAGTTAGTTAGAGAATCTCAGATTCTGGTCAATGGATCTTAACTAACCGCTTGTATTTATAGCCGCGACAACCTCGTTCTTGAACTGTTCAGACTCTGATCTGTCTCTCTCGCAAGCCGCCATGGAGATCGAACGTGCCGGCGGCGCGGGCGACGAGGACGACGCGTCCCCGGTGGAGCAGGTCCGGCTGACCGTGCCGGTGACGGACGACCCGTCGCTGCCGGTATGGACGTTCCGCATGTGGACGATGGGCTTCCTCTCCTGCGCGCTCCTCTCCTTCCTCAACCAGTTCTTCGCCTACCGCGCCGAGCCCATCATCATAAGCCAGATCACCATCCAGGTCAGTACTCTCTAGTTACTCAGTACTCGATCAGTAGACGTGCCTGCACGCCCATACAGATTATGCACGGGGAATTCATGGATCGCGCATGCATGGGTGGATGCAGGTGGCGGCGCTGCCGATCGGGCACTTCTTGGCGCGGGTGCTGCCGGAGAAGAAGTTCAGGGTGTTCGGACGGGAGTGCTCGGTGAACCCGGGGCCCTTCAACGTGAAGGAGCACGTGCTGATCTCCATCTTCGCCAACGCCGGCGCCTCCTTCGGCGGCGGCAACGCCTACGCCATCGGCATCGTCACCATCATCAAGGCCTTCTACAAGCGCAACATCTCCTTCGTCACCAGCCTGCTCCTCGTCATCACGACCCAGGTGACCTATTATTAGATCTGTTTTGTGCGCGTTCACTCGATCTGTCAATCGTGAGTTTATGAATTAATCTGATCGATGCTCCATGCATACAACGTACGTATAGGTGTTGGGGTACGGCTGGGCAGGGCTGATGAGGAAGTACGTGGTGGAGCCGGCGCACATGTGGTGGCCGACGAGTCTGGTGCAGGTTTCTCTCATGAGGTACCCGCGTCGATGATTTGGTCAAGTGTTTAACCTAATCAATTTGAAGTGACGATGGACGATGAGATTGCATTGCCCATGCATATCGATCTGATCTGATCTGAGACTGAAATCTGTTGGCAGGGCGATGCACGAGAAGGAGAAGCGGCGGATGACGCGGGGCAAGTTCTTCCTGATCGCGCTCATCTGCAGCTTTGCGTGGTACACGTTGCCGGGGTACCTGTTCCCGACGCTGACGGCCGTCTCGTGGGTGTGCTGGGTGTTCCCCAAGTCGATCACCATGCAGCAGATCGGGTCCGGCCTCAACGGGCTCGGCATCGGCGCCTTCACCCTCGACTGGGCCACGGTGGTCTCCTGGCTGGGGAGCCCTCTGGTGACGCCCTTCTTCGCCACCGCCAACGTGCTCGTCGGCTACGTCCTGCTCATCTACATCATGCTGCCCGTCGCCTACTGGGTAATCAACCTCTACAGCGCCAGCAGCTACCCGCTCTTCTCCAACGAGCTCTTCGACGCCCACGGCCAGCTCTACGACATCCACTCCATCGTCAACGACAAGTTCGAGATCGACATGGACGCCTACGCGCGGCAGGGCAGGATCCACCTCAGCCTCTTCTTCGCCGTCAGCTACGGCCTCGGCTTCGCCACCATCGCCGCCACCTTCACCCACGTCGCATGCTTCTACGGCAAGTATGTTCATCTCCTTTCCTCGTAGATGCATGCCGATGATTGATCTCAGCTGTTATATAAGTGCTGTGTGTTGACTGTTTGATTGATTTGTTAATTTCTGCGTGAAGGGAGATGTACCAGAGGTTCCGGGAGTCGTACAAGGGCAAGATGGACGTGCACGCGAGGCTCATGAAGAGGTACGACGACATACCGAACTGGTGGTTCTACATCCTGCTCGCGGTGTCCATGGCGGTATCCTTGGTCCTCTGCACCGTGTTCAAGGAGGAGGTGCAGCTGCCGTGGTGGGGCCTCCTCATTGCCTGCGCCATAGCCTTCGTCTTCACGCTCCCCATTAGCGTCATCACCGCAACCACAAACACGGTACTACATGCTTATGCTGGCCGACCGTGTGTCGTCGGTAGACGTGCACAATCGTATCGCTAATCAGTTGTGGCGTTGAATTAATTGCAGACGCCGGGGTTGAATATCATCACGGAGTATTGCTGGGGTCTGATCATGCCGGGGAAGCCGATCGCCAACGTGTGCTTCAAGGTGTACGGCTACATGAGCATGAACCAGGCCGTCTCCTTCCTTACCGACTTCAAGCTCGGCCACTACATGAAGATCCCCCCAAGATCCATGTTCCTGGTGCAGGTACGTAACTGCACGCTGATCACAAATTGTTAAGCTCTCAGAGATTAATCTTGTACGTACGTCCAAGTCCAACCAACACTCTATTCATGTTTAGTTCGTGGGGACGGTGGTGGCGTCGACGGTGAACACGGTGGTGGCGTGGTGGCTGCTGACCACCGTGCCGCACATCTGCGAGAAGGGACAGCTCCCGGAGGGCAGCCCGTGGACGTGCCCGGGCGACCACGTCTTCTTCGACGCGTCCGTGATCTGGGGCCTCGTCGGCCCGCGCCGCATCTTCGGGCCGCTCGGCTACTACTCCGCCCTAAACTGGTTCTTCCTCATCGGGCTGGCCGGGCCGGTGGTGGTGTGGCTCTTCGCCAAGGCGCTGCCGCGGCACGCCGGCTGGATCAGCCTCATCAACCTGCCCGTCATCCTGGGAGGCACGGCCATGATGCCCCCGGCGTCGGCCCTCAACTACACGGCGTGGGGCTTCGTCGGCTTTGTGTTCAACTTCTTCGTGTTCCGGTACCGCAAGGGGTGGTGGAAGCGGTACAACTACGTGCTGTCGGCGGCCATGGACGGCGGCGTGGCCATCATGGGGGTGCTCCTCTACTTTGCGCTCACCAGCTGGGGCCACCAGCTCGACTGGTGGGGCTCCAGGGGCGAGTACTGCGACCTCGCCGCCTGCCCCACCGCCAAGGGCGTGCTGGTGGACGGATGCCCCGTCATCTGAGACTGAGAGTTCAAGTCTTGAATCTTGATCAACACATGAAGCATGCACCTAGCTTAACGCTAGCAGACGTGTAGAATTATAGATTGTGTGCTGCTCTTTGTCAATTGGAAAGTTAGATTATGCAGCTGTCAGACTGTTCAGTTTGTAGGTATTAGAGCTGCGGTTTGTTTGATGGGTGTGAGTAAATTGCAAAAAACAACCACAATTGTGAAAATGTTATCAAACACCCACCAAAATGCATGTTTTCCGGTGGGTTTTTTCTGAAGCATTGGAAACTTCGACCCAATTGTGGTGGTTTTGCAATTTACTCGGATGCCCGTCTGGTTCAATATTGTGTAAAGATTCGAAAATTAGCCTTGTTTTATGAGACAAAATTCCTTGAACCAATGCATTTCCATTTAACTTTCCGAAACGACTCAAATCCTAAACTACCAAACACATGTAAGCCAAATATATCTCTAACATTAGAAACCAAAGAGAGAAGGGTCCACCATTGGATATCAGAGGGAAGCCGATTTGTGGGGAGAAGAGTCCGTAGGTCTAATCCGTAGGTGCTATCCGTAAGTGTTTCTTGGTTAGGTAAAGATGAAAGTTAAATTTTATTTTGGAAGGAACAAAATTTTCATAAGACAAAAATATTAAATTTAACCTTCTATTAAATTTATTAATTTGATTAGAGCAAGTTAGTTTTTTCAAATTATTTGAAATTCAAAAAAGAAATTAGAAAAAGAATGAAAAAGGGGAAAGAAAAGGGGAAAAGGAGGCTAGACATACCAACCAGCCCAGCAAGCACAACATCATACCAACTCATCCAAAAGTCAGAACTGATGGAGGGAAGGGGGCAATATATTTCAACACTCCCCTCCCGTCTAGCCTATTTTACTCCTTACACATGGGATCGATGTAGGCCGCAGAATCGTTTTATTTAATACGCATTGGCAGGGTTTTGAACTCAACATCTCTTGGCTCGGATACCATATTGAATTCATGCACCAGCTAACTCATCCAAAAGTCTGAACTGATGGAGGGAGGCAGGCGATATATTTTAACATGCAACCGGCCTGTCATGCCTGCTTGGGATCGAGATCGATTTGGTTGCTAGGGTTCGAAGGATTGCAAGGCAAAGGGGAAAGTATACTGCTGGAATATTCTCTATTAGCTGTATGATTGAGTTTGCAGAGGAATGATCCAGAATAAGGATGCCTTACAACGATAGCGAGTTGGCTTGTAAGGCCGAGCTGGCAAGTAAAAGAGATAAACAGCATGACAAGTGAAATGATACAATTAAGAGTAATGCTACACCTATTTAAAATTACGTACAATTTTTACGTAATAGTTGATGGGGGAGGAAGGTCCCACCCTCTTGAAAATCAGGGGGAGAAGATGTACAGGCCCTTCCTAAGATTATTTTGATCCATGACGAGGTGCCTACGGTTAATTAATCTTACTTAACCTTCCTAATCAGGTTGCTTAATCGATGACGAGGTGCCTAAGGTGACTTCGTAAATTTCAAGATGATATGTCGGTTCGGTCTTTCGGAGATGCTCTAATAGTTGATGGGGGAGGAAGGGTCCACCCTCTTGAAAATCAGGGGGAGAAGATGTACAGGCCCTTCCTAAGATTATTTTGATCCATGATGAGGTGCCTACGGTTAATTAATCTTACTTAACCTTCCTAATCAGGTTGCTTAATCGATGACGAGGTGCCTATGATGACTTCATAAATTTCAAGATGATATGCCGGCTCAGTTTTTCGGAGATACTCATAGGGGTAAGGTGTGCGTGCATGTGTTCATAGAGTGACTGTATGCGCGTGCATATGAGCACTTACGTCTATACGATGTTAAAAAAATGCATGAGCCTTAGTCTTGGCATGATAGGTTTTGATGGTGTCCAAGTAGAAGCACGTCCATATATACCCAAAGATCTTTTTTATTTTGATCCATAGATCGATCAGAACAGTTTGGGCAGAGACAATCGACCGAGACCTATAAGGATACCTATATGGGACCGGTTCGTAGTTGCATATATCGTGTGCTGGTTGTGCCGTATAGATACATACTAGTGGTTGGGGCGGCATCCTGTGGTGCCGCTTGAGAGAAAATTGTGTGCACGTTTCCATTCAAAAAATAGAGTTCTCGTTTTTGTTTAAAAAAACATCTCAAAAAAATCCTCACTTTTTCATCTAAAAAGAAGTTAAAAAATACCATCACAGCCTACCGATGAGTGCCACTATGCATGACCCTCCATTTAAAAAATACAGATCCTCACCTCCATCTAAAACAAATACATCTAAAAAATAATCCACACCACGTAGCTTGATGGGTTTAATTGGATCGAACTGACATACAAACAAACATCGAAAAAACAGAGTAAAATGAAGCCTCGATAGTCGATCAAGATCATCGGTCGATGATGGATCTATATGCATCTAGCGAATCAGCAATGAACCAGGCCGGCCGGCCGGCCGGCGATAGGATTGATGGTGACAACGACGAGGACGACATCGACTCACGTTGCGACGCTGGTCCGTGGCACGCACCTGATGCGCATCCGCGGTTATAGCAGGCGGAAGGCCATCAGGTCCGCCGACTTCGAGGCCGGCGGCCACATCTGGGCTCTCTCCTGCAGCTTCCACGACAAGCAACTTGTGTCGGTCTCCCTCGAGCTGCTCCACACCGACGCCACCACAGACTTCATCTTCGTGGCCACCCTCAGGATCCAAAGCCAGGCGGACTAATGGAGGATCGCCCAGTGGCACAGCGGCGACGTCAACGTCTTCCCTGCTTGGCCCTCCCAGACTCTCACCTGAAGCAGTTGTTGGTGAGTGAGCAATGGTCGGATGTAAGTTTCCTGGTCGAGGACTATGAGCTCCGCGCGCACACCCTTGTGATAGCCACATGATCACCAACCCTATGTGAGATGATAGTAATGGGCAACAAGGATGACCAAGTCATACCGGTTCACGATGTGACGGTCGAGGTCTTCAAGGCCATGCTCCACTTCATCTACACCGACGAGTTGCCTCCAATTCAAGACCTAGTCCATGATGGTGCTCACCAAGATGAGGCGAAGATAGCGGAAGATATGCTGGTTGAGGCGTGCTGGTTCGGTCTTGACAGGATGAAGGACATGTGCAAGAATTTGCTGGTTAGGAAGAAGATGCATTGCGAACGGTAAAGCTGGGTTGCGATCTCCAATGCTCGAAGCTCATAAATTACTGCTACCAGTTCATCATGTTGACAAAATTTAGCCAAATACAAGGTGAAAAATTTTCCCTGGTCGACCGTTTTGGCACATATTGATTGAGTCTTTTTATTCTAGTCCATATGATTTTCGTTGTCGCTTACTTGCTTATATATGTAAGGTATTTCTTCTTTACCAAGATAAAAAAGGCTTTGGTTCCTGGCCTAGGCAATGAAAGGTGATAACCCACAAGTATAGAGGATCGCAACAGTTTTCGAGGGTAGAATATTCAACCCAAATTTATTGATTCGACACAAGGGGAGTCAGAGAATATTCTCAAGTATTAGCAGCTAAGTTGTCAATTCAACCACACCTGAAAGACTTAATATCTGCAGCAAAGTATTTAGTAGCAAAATAGTATGGAAGTAACGGTAATGGTGGCAAAAGTAATAGTAGCAGTTTTGTAGCAATCGTAACAGTGGCAATGGAGAAGTAAGTTAGCAAAGATCAATATGAAACGAGCTCGTAGACAATGAATCAATGAGGGATAATTATGTCGAAGGGCATTCATCATGCAATAGTTATAACATAAGATGACACAGAACTAGTTCCAGTTCATCAATATAATGTAGGCATGTATTCCGAATATAGTCATATGTGCTTATGGAAAAGAACTTGCATGCCATCTTTTGTCCTACCCTTCCGTGGCAGCGGGGTCCTATTGGAAACTAAGGGATATTATGGCCTCCTTTTAATAGAGAACCGGACCAAAGCATTAGCACTTAGTGAATACATGAACTCCTCAAACTACGGTCATCAATTGGAGTGGTCCCGATTATTGTCACTTCGGGGTTGCCGGATCATAACACATAGTAGGTGACTATAATTTGCAAGATAGGATCAACAACCCTCATATATTCATGAAAACATAATAGGTTCAGATCTGAAATCATGGCACTCGGGCCCTAGCGACAAGCATTAAGCATGGCAAAGTCATAGCAATATCAATATTAGAACATAATGGATACTAGGTACCAAACCCTCACAAAACTAACTCGATTATATGGTAAATCTTATCCAACCCATCACCGTCCAGCAAGCCTATGATGGGATTACTCATGCACGGCGGTGAGCATCATGAAATTGATGATGGAGGATGGTTGATGATGACGATGGCGACAGTTCCCCTCTCCGGAGCACCGAACGGATTCCAGATTGGCCCTCTCGAGGAAGAACAGGGCTTGGCGGCGGCTCCGTATCGTAAAACGTGATGAATCCTTCTCTCTGATATCCTCCCCGAACGTGAATATATGGAGTTGGAGTTGAGGTCGGTGGGGGTCCAGGGGGCCCACGAGGCAGGGAGCGCGCCCAGGGGGTAGGGCGCGCCCCCACCCTCGTGGCTAGGGTGTGGGCCCCCTTCTGATGATTCTTTCGCCAATATTTTTTATTAATTCCAAAAATTGACTCCTTGAAGTTTCAGGTCATTCCGAGAACTTTTATTTCTGCACAAAAATAACACCATGACAGTTCTGCTGAAAACAACGTCAGTCCGGGTTAGTTCCATCTGAATCATGCAAATTAGAGTCCAAAACAAGGGCAAACGAGTTTGGAAAAGTAGATACGTTGGAGACGTATCAACTCCCCCAAGCTTAACCCATTGCTTGTCCTCAAGAAATTCAGTTGACAAACTTAAAGTGATAAAGAAATTTTTTACAAACTCTGTTTGATCTTATTGTTGCAAATATGTAAAGCCAGCATTCAAGTTTTCAGCAAAGATCATGAACTAACCATATTCACAATAACATTTAGGTCTCA